AAGCCATAGAAATTAAAGAATTGACATCAATGCATCATCTCTGACGCAATTTTAGATTAATTAGTGGTTGTTTTACCTTACCATTTCATGAAGCAATATGCAAGCACAAGAGAGGTCACGTGACCGTCTCTTGATTTTTTTATATTAATTTTTAATAATTCAAAGAATTAAGGAAAAAAATTATATATAAGAATTAATAGTACATAATTGTTGGTCCCACGTTTGATTTAATTGATTGAACAAAACTTCTATTCTCTCACTTATTATTTATTTCCTTTAAAGTAAACAGACTCAAAAAACTCTTGACATAATTATTAACTAGAATTCCTTAAACTTTTGAAAGTTTTTGGGTAAAATTTTTTGCTATTTAGTTCATATTTCGTATAGTTCGAATGGTAGTTTTAGTAATTGGTCTTTTTATATTGATCAACCAATTAATAATTTATTGGGTATTAATATAGGAATATGTGAAGCGAATACTTCAACCCTTACATTACGAAATCAAGTACAACACCTCTCAAACCAATTAAACTCATGAGCTTTTACAATCATGGAGAGAACATGTCATGAACAAGCTATCAAAACCCTTAGATATTATTGGTCTGAGAGAGATAATCTTGCATTAGATACGTGCGGGTATCATATGTGCTAAAGTTAATTTTCAGTTCAGTCAGAGAGATCAAAAGCAATTCCGTTTTTGTTCTGCGGGCCATTGCAAAATTCAGTGTATTAATTAACTATTGCTCAATTAAGGGCCGTTCATTAATTTTTACCCAAGAAAAAAAAAATCAGTAAGAAGTTGTGTCTTGGGTATATTTCATTTTGTCTCCAGTAAATTTGAGAGAGATATTTTTTGTTCCTATTGGGTGAAGCCTAATATTTAAGTATATCTGACCGGAAAAATGGTTTTGGGAAACCCTAACCGGAGTTGAAAGGGCCAGAAAGGAAAGGTTTTGTCTTGAGGCTTGAAGACATAGAGGCCGGACTTCGGTGGTGTGGACCCCACCCGACACTAGGCGCCGGTTGAAGAACTGGTGAGTACCGGCGCCATTTACGGGTTCTCAACGGTGGAGATAGAAGAGGCAAATGGATTGACCCCATGTGGAGGTGATGTGGCCTCAACTTTGGAACAAGAGTATGTGTGTATGAATATAATAGAAGAGGGGGGTTTTTTATTTTTTATTTGGTTAAGATTTCACTCTTTAGCTAAATGGTGTTTGGAATCCCAAATGCTCTGAAAATGATGGGAGGATGGAGATGCAATATTTAGTGTTTTGGTCTCAAATTGAGGGATTTTGGGTGGAGGATAACATGCATGTTTTATTCTGTTGAGTTTGAAATATAATATAAATTAGATTAGGAGATTTTGGAGAGCAAATGGGTTTAGTTAGAATGATTGGTTTTGTGATTTCATCAGGTCCTCAATCTAATTTATATTATATTTCATTGCTTAAACGAAGGACAAAAGGGAACGTACTTGCTAATTACAATAATTATAGAAAACAATCTAAAGTATTTTTTTCATTTTATCTCTGTTTCTCCAAAAATGCTTAGATGGCTTTGACCACGTGAATTTAAGTATTAGGCGTGCCACTTGCTTTGTCTAAAAATAAGAAAACAGGATTTTTCAGACGACCCTTTTCTTAAATTGTAATCTAATTTAGCCCAAATCCAATTTGTTGACTCTTTTTGATAATTGAGTTTCACATTAATACGTGACATTTTCTCATTGGTTTATTTTTAATTAGGTGTAAACAATATCTAAACTCTAAACTAATATTATAATTAGCACATTTCAACCATTTTTTAAGAGATATCTTAGTAGTTAAAAGTTTAAATTAAATTTTTATATTAGAAATCTTAAATTTAAATCTTGAAATAAGTGGGGAAGGATTAAAAAAAAAAAAAAGAATTATCTCCTATTATATAACTTATATTCTGACATTAAAAAAAAAAAATCAAACTCAAACAATTTTCTACATTTGTAATGCATAGATGGTTTTAATATTTCAAGCAAGCTTCGGTACTGTTTAGTTCATTTCTCATGTTTAGTTAAAGCGAAGTTACCCATGCTAAGGCAAGGTTCAAGTCATGGCAATGCCGTTTTTATCTTTAAACATGGTTAGAGTATTTTAAAATATCAAGTTAAAAGTTAATTTCAAATTGTTAAGTATAAAGTTAATTATTTTATTTATTATTAATTAATTATAATTAAAATTATTAAGATATTTAAAAATATCAATTTATATATTAATTTTAAACTGTTAAGTATAAATATCAATTGTTCATATGTTCTTAACAACTAAACTAAATCAAATGAAGCCGTCCACTCTTCGGTCGGTCAAGTGGCAACAACTTGACACCAAATTCCATACCCACGACGGCACCACCCAATGCTCAACCTTGTCTTAAGTGGAGACAATTCAACTGGGATTAGGTATTAGAGCTTTCAGAAATTAAATTTAGTTTAGCTAGCCAGATTTTCAGGGACCATGCTCTCCTCCTTCCACAATTCCACTCGTGGCCACGACCCATTTGGCGGGTGATTAATTAATTTAAGTTATTTAACCTTTGTAGTTTTATTAGAGCTTCAACTCCAATTTTTTGGCAGATTAAAGATGTGGACTCAACACGTGTAAATACATTTAATTTAATGTTAGAACAAGACATATGTATATGACATTAGTCAGCAGGTCCTAAGACCAAAATAAATTATGATTTTAATTCAAACTCCTTATAATGTTCAATGGTGCTCTTTATAGGGAACAAGAACTTAAAATAATTAAAAAAAAGATTGTAAGATTTTGCATTCCTACCTTCCATGCTTCTTAAAATCTTTCTGGGTGTTGTTGTGGCTTGTCCTATACACCTGCTAATAAAATAATTGTAAAAGATATTTTTTGCCACTTCTTTTCCTAGAGAAAATATAAGATGTAAAAACTTTTAACATTTTGAAATTTTTACACATATAAATCTCCTCTTTCTTTTCTTGGGTATCTTTTACTTCTCAAAGTGATTCTGTAATACACAGGTCTTTTTCTTGATTTTACTTTTGTGATGTAAATATCAACATTTTTTCTTTCTTACATAAGAAAGCTAATTAGCATAAAGCCCAGTAGACCTTTTGATCTTGACTTATTAACAAAGTTTCAAAATTTAGAGATTGATGTTTTGCTATCTGACCTATATAGACCGCAACATCAAGATTCTTGAAAGAATGGGATCCAGGTCAAATCAGGTCCCACTTATATAAGGACTTAAGTTTTACCATACTGTAAAAATTATTTCTGATTAATAAATAAAGAAAAGGACATCATCAATCATCATATTTTTAATATCAAGATTTTTTAATTTTTTTTTAATAAATATCTCTTTTTAATGATATTATCAACACAATTATAAATGTTACATCTTGAATATAATGTTTTATATAATATCAATTATTGAATAAATAGATTTTTTTTCAATATTAAATTTTTTTAAATTTAATAATTAATATTTTATAATAATTCAAATTATAAAACACTTTAACCGACCCTATTTACTAGTCTATAAAGTTTAATCAAAATTTCAAGGGGCATAGCTCATGCATGCTAGACACATATGTTGAGAAAAGGGGAAGGAAACTCAAGTCTTGTGGGGTTGTGGC